AACTTGACTTCCTATATACCATTTGATGTATCTCAACGAGCTCTACAATACTGTATAAAAATGAAATCGATTCAAGAAAATTTTTTTATCCGGCGGGGTCCTTTGTTAACAAAATCAATTCTTTTGGTACTTTCCTGTTTTGACCTCCCAACATTCACCCTCACCTTCAAGATGTAATAGTTAATCTTTTCAATCCAATAATTAATTTTATCAAAATTTATTAGCAAGTATCTTACCAGAAATCTCGTTAAAAATATTTTAAAAAATTTTGGGTGTCAACAATGGAAAGTATCATTGTGGTAATCGATTTTTTTGAATTTTAGCAGTTTAAAATGTCTTACTTGCTAGTTTAGATCTTACGTAACACTGTGAAATAAAGTATTAATTAATTGTGCTTTCGACAATCAGTCACTAATGATACCGAGAATAACCCTCAAATTTTTATTATGAAGTGAGAAAGAAAAAAAAAATTTATTTTTCGATACAATTATGTCAGTGCTTTTGCGGTTAGGATTTACGTCAGAAAAACGGACATAGAACAACGGAATTAGTGGTAAAATAATCAAGCGAAGGTTTTTTCTGAGTTTTCTACTGGTCTTTCAACAGAAATTCGATAATAGAAAATACTGCTCACCCATTCAGATAAATCTGTCTAATTCGATTCGTGTAATCAAATACCCATGCAACGTGATACCATGTATTTGCTGAAATAGTCGTCGAACCACTTGTGTCATCACCATAAAACCCAAAGTACAATAAATTATTTGTTGTTACTAGAAATAATTCCATATCATGACTACTTGAAATGGTTTGTCCAAAGAAACATGAAGTAACAGTTGTGCTTGCGGTCCTTAGGAACCAAAATTCCATTGTCCATGATAATTGATAAAAATTCATTATTTGACTGGAAGTTAGACGTTGTGAGTTGGCATAAATGAAACTAACGGCATTGTTCACATAACCAGTAACAAATGATTGATAAGTGCCACTTAGAGTATTGGAAAAACCACTTGAATCAGTGAAAACTGAATCAAATGTGTAGAAAGCAATAAGTGATGTGTTAGATATTGAAGTTGAAACGCAACTTGAATTGCAGAGTGGAAGGGCTGTTGAAGTTGTGGTAGTAGTGGTCGTAGCGGTTGTCATAGTAACTGAAAAAAAACCACGTACGAGCTTACGTTTTCAGGCTAAGGATGCACCAATTCCAATTCCAATTCTAGGCTTGGAATTGGTTGGAATTGGTCGGAATTGAAATTGGTGCATCCCTATTTCAGGCAAGAGGGGAAAAGCGGATCCTAGGATCCATTAGAATCCACTAGGATCCATCAGGATCCAGGATTCGCTTTTCCCCCTTGGGTCAGAGTAGCTGTATACGATTACACATATAGCGTTTCGATTGATAAACACAATTTAAGAAAAATCAGTCATCAATTATGTATCTAGCGAGTCCATTCAGAAAATAGTGTGTCGGTGTTAGACATGTACCAAACTCGAGCACAACGTCGAGTTTCGATACCGAGTTTCACAAGATTGAACTCGATTTGAGCTCGAACATTTATACTCGAGCTCGATTGAGCTCGAAATTCTTATACTCGAACTCGATCGAACTCGAAGTTTATATACTCGAACTCGAACTCGAATTGAGCTCGATCCGCTAAGCTCGAGTTCGAGCTCAATCGAGCATTGAACCTCGAGTTCGAGCTCAATCGAGCATTGAACCTCGAGTTCGAGCTCAATCGAGCATTGAACCTCGAGTTCGAGCTCAATCGAGCATTGAACCTCGAGTTCGAGTTCAATCGAGTTTCGAACTCGAGTCTAAACGTCGAGTCGAGTTTCATTTCATCGAGCTCAAGCCGTTTGGGTTTGGGCCATGTCTACACATATACGAAGATAAAATCTAATACCATTTACAAAAGCATATTTTTCAGATGAATGAAAAAAAGAAAAGAACAAGGTTACATCTCTTCAACAAATGGTCTACTTTAACTCGAGAATAGTCTAAAAAATTTGCTTAGATGATTCGTTTCTCGTCAAGCAGTAAAACATGAAAAATCTTGAAAATTGTCTTTCTCCTCACATCTATATTCTTTTGTGCTTCAACTTTGGAATGATTAAGACCAATAGTCGACATAGATATGAGAAAAACTTCAGTCCAATATGTTGTTCTTCCTACAAGAAAATTAACACTCAGCAGCAAAACAGGAGATTTCGCTTAATAACTTGCAAGATTCATAACTCCTGCTAGAAGTAACTTGGGCCCGAACCAACTTAGGGTATATCACTCCTAGCTATGCCCTATCTAACCATAATATTCCCGACCGAAAAGATTTTTGACACCTCGGGTGGTTCCCTCGTAAGATCTATTTTGTGCGCCTTCTGATGAAACCTTCTCGAAACTTTTAAAAAGCAGTGAAGTCACTTGACTTCTGTTCGTTTCACTCCAAACGTGCGCAAAGTTAATCCACTTCTATCATTTTCCATCGTTTCTTTTATGTGATGGGGCTAACTAGGGTATTCTTCAATTCTGTTCGGTGAAATAAGGTAAGTCGGCGAGGGTTTTCAAATGAGGGCATGGGTGAATTAATTAGTTAAAATAAAACTGAAAATCACACCCATACCCATTATATTATATCCATATAGCTTATTTTTGTTCAACTTTAATTCTCTATCTTCTGATATATAAGTAGCATGAAAAACTTCAATGATCTGTTGAAATGCAAGTTGGTACATCTTTTATAGAGTATTTTCTTTTTTTCCCCATAAAGGTATTATAGTGCTAAAAGTCGGTATCGGTTAACTTTTCATAGGAAGGATATTAGAACCTAACATTTTTGGGATTGGTGGCTTCAGACATCGATGTGTTGAGTGAGCAAAACAGATGAAGAAAAAACATTTTATCGAGTGCGTCGTATATTGGAATGATACTCGATGGGCTCATGGAGGCTCTCTTAATAAGCTGACGATAGTTTCCCCAGGTGGTCCTTGGATAGTTACAGAACGCTTTGATAAATATATAGATCAAAACAACTTTTGATCCTGATTTCAAACTATGGGAGGGAAGTGACCGCTACCAGATAGTTACCTTATCTGGTGAATGGTAACCTATCCGTTACTCGTTACCGGTTACTTGGTAACGTAACGGTAACTTTCCTCCCCTAGTTTGAACAGGCGATTTTCGTTCGCTTTTATTGTAATATTCCTGATCAGCAGGTCTCATGTATAGGCGCATTTGATTAAAAACGATTTTGACAAATATTTGTTATTCGGAACATCCATGCGAGCATCACATAGAAGAAAAATATTCCCGTAAGATTTCGCGAAAGTAACTCATACAACATGGTCATTGATCCTCCATAATTCGAACTAGATTCACATAAGTCGAATCTGGTGGGTTTTAGGCTACATGACCTAATCCATCCTCGTCCTTTTCTATTGTGCGCTTTCGTATGATAGTTTATATCATGGAAAAATCATCCCTTCGGATAAAATACATCACTAAACGAATAAATCACCAGACTCCATGATTTTCTTTTCTATTTTATCCTAAAGAAGAACTTTCACTTACTGGTAGTCGTTGTCGTGATGGTTGTTGACCCTAGAATAGTCACAAGTTCAATGGCTCTTACGAAATGAAGAAGATGAAAGCAAAAAAACTTCTTTCGTGCTTTTTCCAATTCGAATGATCAGAAAAGGGGGTCTATTTCATTAAAACTGTTGTTGAAGCAGACTTACAAAAATACTACTATCCGTTCCAAAATACAAGGCCATCAGTTGCTTTTTGAATAACTGTTGATAGAAGATTAATAGAGACCTGCGATTTTCACCATCATATAGTCCAACTCAGAACACGTCGAATCGTAGAAGAAATATTAACTTTAGTGTGACTTTTGACGGGTTTTCGAAGGATCTCTGGAAAACCTTAACAGAGTTTGTGAAAGCTTTGATGGATTCTCATTTCAAAGTATTCCATTTTGTAGCCTAAAGGCTACATTATAAACCCTGAAGTTTTCAGATTTTTCTGGCCTTTACGTGGGAGGCAGGACTGAGTCCCCTGCATGCTTTAACCTATGTTTAGATATATACGGAAAATTGAATTATGAAATTTCGACCTGAAATTTTGCCCATAGATAATTGCGCTGGCCCATAGAAGGCGTATATGTGTGGGCGTGACACTTCTCCCCAGCTATACCCGTATCCATACATCCACACCCATCATCATCATCTCAACCTGTTCTCACTACTACAAAATCGAAGAGCAAACAGTTAGGGCCAAAAACGTAGACATTCATTGAAAGATGAAGAGAATGATGATTTACATTTACACTAGAGTTATGAATAAATATTAATTTCTTTTCTTTGAATAAAAATTGATATTCGTAATGGAGAGTGTATGTAAGGAATAGGGAGAATAAAAACTAACACTAGAGTAAAAAATAGTAAACAGAAGAGCAAACTTGATTGCTGTAATTCATCGGAATGTTTGGTATGCATCATTCTAGGCTGCAAGACTAGCGTATCACTTCTCATTCTCTCACAGGTGAGCAAACGTGAACATACTTACGAACATCCTGTAGTTTTCATTCCAAACACCCTGTATTTTTCCTTACGCTCGAAGATTGTAAACAAATTGCTTTAGTAGAGATCGTAAAGAAAGTGAGACGAAATGGCACATTCCCTGTTGTGTCTAGCGGCAAAAATTACAGATCTCTATCTTGTTCGAATCAAAAGTTATTCAAAAAGCAACCGTTGGCCTTATATTTTGGAACAGATAGTAGTATGTCGACTTCTTCTCATGATACACACAGAGAGAGTGATTAACTGAATAAAACAATTTCTACACAATTTACACTCAATAATAAAATATTTCTGGTCAATAGACAATTAATCCGTGAATCAAGTTTTTCACCTGTAGATTGATGTGCAGTAAAAATCTCACTTAGAAATATACACTTCCTTCAAAATTCGACAGCAGTCAAATTGGTATAGATTTTTTGAAGATTTCCTTATTTTCTGCACTGATCATCTCGCGCGTATGAGAGAAAAAAAGAAGATAAATTTCAAAAAACAAACTCATTTTTTATTTGCTCTCAACATTCTCAAGGTTTAAAATCAATCTCATCATACCAGTGTTTGTAGTTACTCCTTGATTTGTGAATACAACAACGATTCCATATGAAACAAGTACCATAGCTGCAAAGGCACATGCAATAATCATCGGCAACATGAAATGCACCGTCGGACATGAGTTCGTTTCGGTTTTTGTAGTGCCTTTCATCAAATTCCTAAATCAAATAGTAATTTTGGTAGTTAGAAAAAGATAGATGAGAAACAGTTTGATATGTTTAATCAATAGATAAATATAGATTCATACTATCAATGTTACTAACTTGGCAAAGTCCTTGGATGAAGGCACGCTTCGTTTCAATGTTGTTGGCTTTGCAGGCGAAGAATGGAGATTCACAGCAGTCTGTGAAAAAAAAGATTTACTTGTTTGAGTTGGTCATTGGGAGATAAATCTAATAAATATTTCGATAATATACTGAAGACTATAAATACCTGAGATTGATTTGCAAATGACGTGTTGTTTGCGACACGAACCATTTGAATATGTTAAAAAAAATATATCTAGAAAATGTTCTGAGTTTTTATACACTACGCGAAGAAAGAGATTCGATAATGTGGTGTTCTCTCTTGTTAACTATTTTTCTCAATTGAATGACTGATGAGATTTGAATCAGCCTAGATAAATAAGCTCGAAGAAACCTTGTCAATATCGCGGGAGAGATTGCGCTGCGCACTTTTCAATCACTCTTACAGCTTGTAGTGTCTAGAAAGAATATATGGCTTGTGTTATTATTCAATTAAATCGAACTGTTTACATTGGTTTCGTCCCTTTTCATCGACACTTTTTTTTCTAAGCAATTTAAGAATTTGACTAAAGAAATTTCGGCTTGGAGAAAGAAAGAAAGAAAGAAAGAAAGAAGCTAAACAATGATAACATTACGAAACGTTTCTATAAGCGGGTGTGGGTGACGATCTTCCTATACCACATCCCGACGACTACACCTACACCCACACCCACACCCTGTGAATGCGTTCTCTAGATATGCCTCAAGATGTCTGGTATATTTCTGAACACCTGAGTG